ACATAAGTCCAAAAATCTCACCATATACAACCTTGAAGCAGGACAGTCCCACAATATTCCTTTTCCTGTCTCTTGCTTTCATTCACCACCCCCTAGGGGTTCTTTCTTAGACATTTTTGTACAACTTTCAGTCCCCATCATGGTCCTGGGATCTCCTTCATCAGTTGGTGAATGATGACTGAGTGAAACATATTTATATTTTTTAAGATACAGGGGCCAGGGAGATAGCTCAGCGGCATAAGCATCTGATTGGCAAGTGCAAAGTCCTTGAGTCTGATCCCCAATACCAAAAAAAAAAAAAAAAGCACACCCATGTGCTATTCTCCGTAGTCCCAGCTCTAAGACCTTGTCCAGAGAAAGTTTTCTAAAGACTGGAAGAACATGTGACAAATCTTGGGCTGTGCCCTTCCAGCTGGCAGCAGATGCTCGCCTGCAGGTGGACAGCAGGGTGCACCGCTGCAGTGGGCACCTGCTTGGGTCCTGTCCCCTGTTTCAGTGAAATCTCATTTTGTGACTCAAACCAACTGTCTTTTTTTTTTGGTGGAATCGGGAATTGAACTCAGGGCCTTGCACTTGCCAGGCAAGCGCTTATTCTACTGAGCTATCTCCCCAGCCCTCAACTGTCTTTTGCTCCCTGTCCTGCTAGACAGGGAAGGTCAGACCCCAGGCAGGCTCTGGCAGACAGCTTGCTGTCCCTTGCTGTTGCCCAGTATGCTTACCTTAAGGCCTAGCTGCCTCAGCTTCCCACACTGGCCTCAGACAGTAGTGGGGAGTAATGTGGATGGGAATCTAGGACTTCTCAGGAGAGTGGGTAAGCAACAAATTCTCACTCAGGTCATGGCCATGTCTCTGGTTATTTCTCTTCTGCAAAGCCAAAAGCAACAAAAAAGTGTCATGCTCTTGGCCTTTGTACTAGAAAAAAATGTTCTGAGTCTTGGGGACAAAGACCAGGCGTCCTCTCTGCTCCCTTTAGAGAAGCGATAGATGCCAGGGGATATCTGGAGCATGTGTTGGCCGGCTCCCCCAGCAGAGCTGCATTTTTTTCATCCTGACTCTGGCCCATCAGCATCTACAGTTTCTGTTTTGGGTGAAGTCTGGTAAT